CGATGATGACGATGATGACGATGATGGGCAAGGCCGCTGCCCGTTCCCCCCGTGGTTGCCCGCCCTCCCGGGGCGGCCCTGACCCGCCCCGAAACAGGCCGCGACAGGCTAATGGGGGTTCCGAGAGGGCCCAAGACGTTCCCAAGAGGCCCCGAAAACGCTCGAGTTGCCCTCGAGACGGCGGGCGAGGACTCCGACGCGCTCCAGGACGGACTCGCCAAGAGGGCCTTGGGAGGCAATCTTCGCTCATGTCCCCAGGGTTTTTGAAACATTTTGGCGTTGTTGCACTCCCCGCGTCCCAGCGCTCCCTCGCGGCCTCAGAGGCCCTTCGGATCGCTCCAAGACGGCCCACGAGGTTCCGAAGAGGGCCCAGCAGGCTCCCCAGACAACCCGGGCGCGCCCCAAAGGCGCCCCAAGAGTGGGCCCAGAAGGGGTCCCGAGGCGGCCCGGTCCGGCCCCGAAGCAGGCCACGACAGGCTGATGGGGTCCCGAGAGGGCCTGAGACGCTCCCACGAGGCCCCGAAAACGCCTGAGCTGCCTTCAAGACAGCCGACGAGGACTCCAACGCTCTCCAGGACGTACTCAAGAGGCCTGCCAAGAGGGCCATGGGACGCAAACTTCGCTCATGTCCCGTGGGTCTTTGACGGATGTCGTCGTTTTCGCTTTCCCCACTTCCCAGCGTTCCCTCACAGCCTCGGAGGCCCTTCAGATCGCTCCAGAACGGCCCGCGAAGCCCCGAAGAGGACCCCGAGGCGCAGCAGGCTCCCGAGACAACCCAAGCGTGCCCCGAGAAATCCCTAAGAGGGGGCCCGGAGGGGGACCGCCAACCGATGTTTCCAGGTCTCTGACCCTAGAGGCCCCCAGTAGGCGCCCTGGAGGCCACCGAGAGGCCCCCACGAAGCCCCGTGAGGCGCGCCCAAGAGGCCCCCGTGAGACACCAAGAGACCTTCAAGGGGCTCCCAAGGAACGCCCAAGGGGCCCCACAACACACCCCAAGAAATCATGCCCCCAGAAAACCTTCCGGGGACCTGGTCCATCATGGGCCCGAGAGTTCCCAGAGGCCCCAAAGGGGCCCCCAGGTAACGGCCAAGAGGTCCCCCAACACACCCGAACGAATCATGTCCCCAGAAAGCCTTCCGGGGATATGGGTCATCATGAGCCCGAGAGTCTCCGGAGGCTCCGAAGTACCATCATGCTACCGGAATGTTGTCTGGGAAGTTGATTGGGAACATGACTGGTCGCCTTCTCGCGGCCCCCCGCATATCGTTTCGCACAAAGAGTCCCCAAGTGCCCTTTTGAACTGACGACGACGAAGAAGACGACGAAACGACGAAGACGAGTACGACGACGACGACGACGACGACGACGACGACGACGACGACGACGACGACGACGACGACGGCACGCCCCAACAGGCTCCCCCAAGACGCCCCCACAACCCATGTTCCCACAAGGCCTTCTGGGAGTCGGATTCATCCGGCCTCCGCCCCCTACGCAACCTTCTTCCCCGAAAGCCTTCCGGAATGCGGATTGCAGTGCGTGGATTGTGGTTTACTACTTCAGTGGAGCAGTAAGCTCGTCAAGGCCTTGGGCCTGCTAGAACCTGAGCGCGCGCGAAACGCACACGATGGTTTTAGTGCGTGTATATTTAGATATACGCAAACACTAGTGCGTGTATATTTAGATATACGCAAACACGTACACATGTGTATGTATGTATGTATTTTTGTGTGTACGTATGTGAGTCTGTATGTATGTGTGTAAGTATGTATGTATGTGGGTAGGTGTGGGTGGATCGATGGATGGATGAACGGATGGATGTATGAATGTGTTTATGTGTGTACGTCCGTACGTATGTGTGCATGCATGTTTGTGTGTATGCATGTATGTTTGAATGTATGTATGGATGCATGCATGTATGGTTGTGTGTATGGATGCATGTACGTACGCATGTACGTGACACACCACACAACTATACACATAGACATGCACACATACATATGTATATATATATATATATATATATATACATACGTATATGTATGTGTATATATGTATATATATATATATAGTGATGTTGGCATTTCGCGTCTTTTTACAGGGGAGGTCCGGGAGCTCTTTTACGGCGTTTCGGGGGTCTGTTGGGCCGTCGGTGGGTCATTTGGCACCTGTGCCGATGGGTGCCCTCGTGGCGCCCCAGGAGAACAGGCGGTCTGGCAGCCCGATCGTCACCACAGCTCGACGGTGCTGTGGGAGAGACTCTTGCCCTGTGGTTGGCCAGCCGCAGTAGGTGCGGGCCCGCCGTACCACCCCTGAGAGGCCCGATGGGGTTACTCGAAGGGGTCCCCCGACGTGGGGGGCGCGGGAACTTAAAGTCCTTGGGCAGCGGGGCCTCCGCTGCTTGAGGCCGGCGGCCAAGTGGGGGTGGTGCCGGTGGCCGTGTCTCGGGGTGGCATCTCGAGGCGCCTCGCAACGGCGGCGCAGGTAACGCGTGGGGCGGGTCCGTGCCGCCGTTCGTGTTGCGAGATCCGATTGCATGTGAATTCATACAGGCACTTTGGGCACCTCCCTTCGGGTTATGTCGTCCAGGTGTTCTGTCCGGGCCCCAAAAAACCGTCTTTGGGCGAATCGGGGTCGCGCTCCGTCTTGGGGGCTTCTTGGGCTGTCCAAGCCCGTCATAAGGGGCCTCCGTGCCTCTGGAAAAATCACGCGGGGGAGCCCGATGAGTCGCGAGAACGCCAAGTACACTGGGCTTTGGGTCCACCCTGCCATCACGGGTGCAGAGAACAGAGAAGGCTAGACGCCTGGGGACACCCTTCTTCGTGCCTCGAAGCACGGGGCGGGTGTTAATCATAACGACCCAGACGCCTGAAGCGACGATGCTTGTTGCAGCGCGGGTTTCTGGAGGTCTGGGCCCTTTTCGCTGGGCCCGTTTTCCTTCGTCAGTCGTACTTGACGGCCCCAAGGCCTGGCGGGCGTCGCGAGAGGCTGAGCGCGGCCAAACATGTTTTTCACTCCGCGGGAAGGTCGGGGTAGAGTCGTGTCCGTCGCTACCTCTCACGATTGCCCTGGCGTCGCTGGGGCGTGTGCATTTGTTCTCGGCGAAGACCATCGACGAGCGTTGTGGTTTGTCTTGCAAAACATGGACGCGTCCAATGGACCGCTCCTGGGCCTCAGGGAAGTTTGGCGGTGCATTTAGTCACCACTGTGAGCCGACGACTTGATACACCGCAGCCCTCCCTGAAGTTATGTGCGAATTCGTCGGAAGGCGTTTATGTATACATTCTCTTGGCGTGATACACCTCCTTGTGGGCAGGATCTTTTTCGGGCCCGCGCCCGCTCGGCCAAGTTCCGGTCGACATTTCTGAGCCAGGGCGGGTCCCAAGCACAGTCGGACCAAGTCATAAGATCGAGGTCAGTTCGATGGTCTTCGTGTTTGCTGGATGCTCTTATGCATTCTGGGAAGGGTACCCTTTGATGTTCTGCGTGTTGTGGTTGGCGGAGGGCCTCGTGTTGTTGGAGGAGGTTCTTCGTTCATAGGTTTGACTACACCTAAGGGTGACCTTTCGCCGCAGTGACCTTTTGGTGCGGGCCCATCGGGGTTTCCCCGATCGCCGAACGCGATGCGACAGTAGCGTCTTGCGCGCTTGTGTCTGGCCCCCCCCGCGGCCCCCAAGGAGCCGCGCACCAGAGGTCCCTCCTACCCTCGGCGGTGGACAAACCTCCGTTTAGTAAGCTTCCCTTCAGTGAGCACGGCCTGGGACCGAAACCGACGGACCTGGACCCGCAACAATGACGGCCGCGAAGCGCCCTCCCGCGAACCGGAAACGGCCGATTCACGAATCGACGTGTCAGGGTAGGGAGGTCTGTTCACCCCCGATACCCGGGGTCACTCCTTGCGCGTGGCCGCGTTGGGCTCGACTCTACACGGTCAGAGATCTGTCTTGGAGCTTGTTTTTTTTTAGACTCTGGCAAGTTTACTTGCATGGACGGGGGGGGGGGTGGGCTGAGCCTGAAGCAAGCCGCAAACGACTTGCACGTTCGGGGGGCGCGGAAATCACGCAAGTCGAAAGGCACTTGCACGCCAGTATTCGCTTGAAGAGGGGCGACGGGGGGGGGGGGGGGGGGCGAACGCCATGCAAGTAAACTTTCATTTATATATATATATATATATATATATATATATAAAAACAAAAAAACTCTTGCCCTCGCGCGTCGCGCCGCCGGCTCCCTGGCCCACGACGCCCCGGCGCGACCACGCTCTCCGCGCCGCGGTCCACTCGAGCGTCGGCGCCTCGAGTGCTCCCCACAGCCCAGGGCCCCGCGAGCCGCTCGCAGGGCATGTGGCGTGGCGCCGGGGCCGCCGCCGCGAGGCGCGAAGCAGCAGTGCCTGACCGTACAGAGGGGGGAGGGGCCTCTGTGGGCCCCGGGAACGGCAGGGCCGTTTTTGCCACCGGTTGCAGAAACATGTCCCTTGAAAAGGGAAGCGGCAAAGCCACGGCGACCGGAAACGGCAACAAAAACGGCTCCAGGATCGGAACCGGAGCCGGAACCGGTCAAACAACGGCGACGGAACCGGTAAAAAAACGGCGTCGGAACCGGCAAAAAAACGGCAAAAGGGAACTGGTAAAAAAAACGGCCCTGTCGTTTCCAGGGCCCACTAAGTCTCAGAAGCACCCCTGCTTTTTGGAAGGCGCGGGCCCTGTCTGCAGATGTCAGGCCCGCGCCTTCTGAGAAGCAGCCTCCTGCTAAGGGGCCTTCCCCTCCCTCCCCCTACCCCCTTGTGCGCGCCGCCAAGTATCGGGGAAACGCAACTCGGGTTGCCGAAGCCTCATGCAGCCCCTGGATTTTGACGGTCCAGTTTTCGTGGGGTGTCTGCAGCGGGAGTTCGCGTCAAATTTCAGATTGGGCCTCGTCATTTTTATGATGGCCCCGTCGGGCCAACCCGAGTCTCCTGTACCCGAGTCTTACGTCTCCCCGAAAGTAGAGCCCCTGTGCAGGCTCTTCCTCATCCCCTTCCTCTGCTGGCCCAGCTCCACCACCACCACGAGCACGACCACGCCGTGCCCAACGCCGCCGACCCCAGCGCCCCCTGGGCCCACTCCGCCGCCTCCGGTGGGCGGGCACGCTGAGAATTCTGGAGGAGGAGGAGGAGGAGGCAGGAGGAGGCAGGAAGGAGGAGGAGGAGGAGGAGGAGGAGGAGGAGGAGAATGAGGCGGACCAGGAGCCTAACGACGACGACGACGTTGACCACGACGACGACGACGACGACGACGACGACGACGACGACGACGACGACGACGACGACGACGACCACGACCACGACCACGACCACGACCACGACCACGACCACGACCACGACCACGACCACGACCACGACCACGACCACGACCACGACCACGACCACGACTACGCTTTCGACGACCCGTCTTCCCGCAGGGCCCCCCCGGCACCTGCAGAGTCTACGGTGACCCGCACATCCAGCAGTTCGACGGCGGCCACGCCAGTTTCTATCCCCACGGGCCCCTCGCCGCTCTCCGTTCCGGCCCACCAGCGAGGGGGGATGGGGGGGGGGGAGGATCGAGGAGGGTCGAGGAGGATCGAGGTGGAGGAGGGGGGAGGAGGACGACCGAAGGAGTTTTCGGACGCTTTCGTCAGTTCGAGGCAGGTTTCCAGCCTCGGGATGCCGCCATGCCGAGAGCGTTTGGGAGGGGGTCTGGATCGTCCCGAACGGCCGCCGGAGAGCCGAGGCGTGACCCGAAAACCCAGAAGCAGGAGGAGGATAGAGGAGAACGATCGAGCGAGAGGTCGAGCAGGAGGACGGTGTCGAGCAGGAAGAGGTGGAAGAGGAGGAGAAGGACGAAGGATGAGGATCGAGAAAGGAGGCACTGGATCGGGGAACAGGGGCGGCTTGTTTGAAGTTCTAGGGTGTCGGCAGGATTCTGGAGGGCTCCACGGGGGTCTCAGGGGGGCGGGGGGGGGGGGAGCGGCTGGATCGTCCTCGTCATATTCATCTCCGTCATCCCCCACTCGATCGTCCCCTCCTCTCCCCTCCCCCTCCTTCCAGCCGCTTTTTGTGCCTTCATCGCTCGCGCTGGTCCACAACCCGCGGAGGTAGAGGACCCTCCCGTGCGAAGCAACTCCAACTCGTCGCGCCACCGGGCTCGGGCCAGGCGGTGCGCAGGAGACTTCCCCGCGGCCTGGGACCAGGCAGCTGCCAGCCCTCGCAGCTGCAAGGATGGAGAGCGGCAGGGCTGCTTTCTGCTTGTGGTCATCGCCTTCGCGCCGCGCGCATGCCTTCTTTCGCCATCCAGTGAAGTCACTGGTGGAGGGCAGTTGCTTGTCCTCCCCCTCTCGCCCCTGCGCCGCGCACACTCGTCTCACCAGTTGCTGACGTTGACAACGATGGGGGGCGGTTCCGCGTCAGGAGGGCGTTCTCGCACAAGGCTCCCTCGAGCGTGTTGGCCCGAAGTGTCAGACCTTCCCGCAGTTGTGAGGATGGAGGGCGGCTCCTCTTCAAGAGGGTGCGCTCGAGTGGAACGTCCCCAAACTAGCACCTGCGTGCATTATCGCTTCGTGGCTCCATGGACGGAGGGGGCCTCCTACCCAGAACGGGGCCCTCGCTGAGCACATCTTTGGTCTTACAGCGCTCCCTCTGAGCGTCAGCCACGCGCAGAGGGGGCCAGGCGGAGGGGGGAGGGCTTCTTCGAAGCAAGCCTGCTTCTTAGAAGCCTTCCGGACTCATCCGACCACAAGTCGGCTCCTTGAGGGCCAAGGGCTTGAACGCTTTGACTCTGGCACGGGGCCCTCCCGTGTGGCGAAATTCCGCCGCGAGATCTTCGGGGCGCCTGCGCCTCCTGGTTGCTCGTTCGTCCGCGATGCTCCCCGGTACTACTACCAACCAGTTGCCCCTCGGACGGGGCCAGGACGAGGTTAAACCGTTCCAGAGCGTTCCGGCACGCTCTCAGAGCGTGCCGGAGCACTGTGAGAAGGCTGCGGCGCCCGAGACATCCTCCAGAGCCGCCGGATCTCGGAGGTTCTCGATTTTCCCTCGCCCGATTTGATCCTCGCCCAGGATTCGTCTTCACCCCCCCTCTTTCGACGCCCCCGGCTCAGCCCAGCCTCGATGCTCGGCAGTCCGGGGCGGGCCTGCCTGCCGAGGCTGGCCCAGAGGCAGGAAAGTTCCGGCTTGGTTCGGTTCGACTAGGTTCCGAAGTGCCTCCGGTTCGCTTCGGTTCGGTTCGGTGTATAATCTTCCGCTTCGGTTCGGTTCGGTGCGTCTATTTTTTGTTTCCGCGCCGCGCCGGTTCGGTTCCAGTTCGGTTCCGGTTCGGTTCGGTGCGCGGACGCTGCCTCGGCCCGCGCCGGGGCCTCTGAGGCCCCGGCGCGGGCCGAGGCAGCGTCCGCGCCGCGGCGTGCCGGAGCCGGGGCGTCCGCGCCTGCGCCGTCAATTGGTGCGGGCCCGGGCAGCTCACCACGAGGCCCGTCGGGGGCTGCCAGTGCAGGAGGGGGAAAGCACACACAGACACAATGAGTCGTCCATTCCCAGGAAGATATGGGAAGATATGGGAAGTGGGGGGAAGACAAAACACCCAAGAACGTATGCGAAACGATGGGGGATCCTGCTACGCATGTTTACTCATTTGTGTGTCCCAGGGCCTGGCTTCGTCTCAATCCCGTCCTGCGCGCCGCCAAGCGCCGGGGGTGCTGCAGGGCAATTCCCTGCCGGAGCGCGGATCCCGCCCGACCGGCGCGCATGGCAGGCCACCGCTGCCCCCCTCGCTCGGCGGGGGCTCCGCCCGCGGCGTCGGATTTCCCCTCCTGCTTTCCTCCTCCTGCCTCGTCCTGGTCCTGCCTCCTCCGCCTCCTCCTTCTCCTCCTTTCTTCTCCTCCTCCTCCTCCTCCTCCTGCTGCCTCCTCCTCCTCGTGCACCCCTTCTCCTCCTCCTCCTCCTTCTCTTCCTCCTCCTCCTCCCCCTCCTCCGTCTCCGCCGCCTCCTCTTCCCTCCTTCTCGTCCCTTTCCTCCTCCTGCCCACTCCTCCCTCCTCCTGCCTTCGCCTCCTCCTGCCTCCCTCTCCTGCCTCCTTCTCCTCCTCCTCCTGCCTCCTCCTTCTCCTCCTTTTCCTCCTGCCTCCTCCCCCTGCCTCCGCCTCCTCCCCCTCCTGCTCCTCCTCCTCCTCCTCCTCCTTTTCCTCTTGCCTCCTCCCCCTGTCTCCGCCTCCTCCCCCTCTTCCTCCTTCTCCTCCTCCTCCTCCTCCTCCTCCTCCTCCTCCTCCTGCCTCTTGGAGATCCCCGACGTCCAGGCGAAGGTTACGACATGTCTTGCTCGACTTCTGAACCTCCCCAGCGCTGCCAGTCTCCTGCTTCCTAGGATTCGTTATTTTCTCCCTGGGGCCCCCATGCCTGTTGCCGAACGTGTAATTTTAAATATGAAACTCGCCTCCCAGAAGTTCGGGCCATTCGTTTGCACTGCCATCCTTAAGTCTGTGTGCAATGGATGGCCGACCACACGCAGGTACAGGATGTGCACACGACCGTGCAGGTTTGGCTGCGGCGTGGAGGCGGGAGACAGGATCGA